TCCACTCCTGTGATGTTTAGACCACAAGTTGCAAATTAATGTTCCTGGGGAGAGAGGACTGAGTCATTGAGTCATATGCGACAAAATTGATGCCGAAATGGAGAAAGAGACTTGTTCATTGAATTGAATATCAACAATTATCAAACCCCAACGACTATCAAATTAATGTGATTCCATCCCACCCCAAACTTGAATCAATTGTAACCTCAAAATATTTTTCACCTTTTGATTCTTCAATACGTTCTTCAAGCTAAATCCCCGTTCGAAACGGCAGAAGGAGAAACAGTTTTATGCGGAAAACCACCGTTGATTAACTCTAAACCAATGAGCTGCGTTTGGTAAAAGGTTGCTTTCTAAGTGTATGCAATGAAGAAGGAGAGAAAATAAAAAGTAAGATGTTATTTTCATTTATGTTATTATAATTAGATGACATGGGCCACTTTTGTGCTTTTAGATTTTACTTATTGTTACCCTCTGAGGAAATTCAATGCTTATGTTTATCTTTTATCTTTCTGCTGCCATTGGGTCATGAGTTGTTTTTATTTGTACCTAGTGTGGTGAAGTAACACCATCAACATCAAGTAAAAAAAACATAGCATAAGATTCATTAACTTATTGAGCAAAGGACAACTTGCATCACTCTTTTCAGAACAATATATATCACAGGAATCATAAACATTCAGAGACAATTAAAAAAAAATTAACTTTAGAAAATAGAGTGAGTTGGATCTTGAGATTCTACATACAATGCTTACCCTTTCATGTGTCTGCTCCTGGAGCTGAAGGAATCCTAGAAACTAGTGGCATAATCCTAATCCAGTAAATGACATTTTGAGATGAAAATAAAGGATGCTAAAAAATAAAAAGGTTTTACTCCTTTTAGTAGATTACTTTATACATATAAATTTGTACAAGAGCCTGTGTCCGCGGCACAGTGCTAGTGCATCCGTTGTGGTTGTCTGATTGCACTGCCTTTACCATATTTGCCATAATGAAATGACCATTATCTTGTGATCACTTTCATGGTTTAGGCCCATTGCCTTTTTTTTTTTATCCCTTTACATTTGGTTCAAGAAGAATCTAATTTTTGCTTCTGCGAATATGCCAAAGCAGCAATCGTGTCACATTGATATGGACCAGAATTACTCTCCAGCTCCTATTATGTTATGTTATATGGTTACCCTTTTTGGTACTGCCACTGCTCAGTGCTACTGAGATCTGATAAGATAACAAAGGTTAGAGTGCCCCACACACGCAATTTAACCACATCTAATCCACAATTGCCTAGGCTTCTAATTTGTCACAAGGTGGACATCATCTTATAGTGGAACTTCTTTATTTTTATACTCACATTGTGCCACCCTTCAAATGATAAAGAAATAAAAGTAAATCCACCCATCATTCTATAGGAAAGTTTAGTATAACATTCAATGAGCATTTATAAATTTGAGTTTGGATAAAATTAATTTTGTAGAACTAGTTTTATTTTAAAGCAAGTTAGTTAATATAATTTGTATATGTTATTAAAAGTAAGTTTATAATAAAATTTAATACATTTTAATTTAATGCAAAAATTATAAATTTAGTTCAGATCAATTAAACAAGTTAAAATAATAACCAAACTAGGTTCACATGCATTAATTGTACTTCTAGAGATGTAAATGTGCATGACATGGTGCATTTTGACTCCTAGAAATTATGCTTGAAACTCTGCTTGGTTGATGTTAAAATGGTATTGGTTCACTTATCTCTATCAGATAACGCTATGTTGTGGGAGTTGGTTGGGCCAATTATTCAAAGTTAAACTGACATTGAAGAAAAGTTCTAGATGGGTTGAATTTCCTTAGAAAGGCCAATAGCTGAGGGAGATCAAATTTCAAACTTGAAAAATCAATATTATTATCTTAATTTTTTAATTGAAAGCGATTTAACAAAGTGGAATCAACCTCACATAACATGTTCTCGCCGTTGTTGAGCTTAAAGTTTATTTAACATAAAAGAAGACTTTCGCCAAAAAACAGAAAACTATTCACTGTTGTTTCCCAGCAATTTTTAAGCGTGTAAGATCGGAACACACCACCAAAAGTATGGTTAAAATTATGGGATGTAGAAGAGAGAAGATTATTCATGGAGGGTGACATTTTGGAAATAACGAAAAGTTCCAATGATTTGATTCCAACCGATTTTTTTTCTTATTACTGTACACAGAATTTAAACTTGAATTAGGAGAGGGAGACTACACACTTATCACTAAATAGACGATTACCAAACCAAAGGTTCGATAGCCAATTCCCATGTTTAAATTCAAACCAATTCAAGATGCTAAGACAGCAATATTCAGAAGAAGTTATAGTATATGAGCTAACTAATTGAAAGTGGCTAAGTGAATGCAGATTTTGGATAACATTTAAAGTTTTAATTATCCAACATATGCAAAATATTACACGTACAATTGTGCGGCAAAACCTTGGATAAGCACCCAAATAGTGCCTCTGAATTGAGAATCATATTACCTTTAAATTTTGATTAAAAATTATTATTTATTACTAGGATACCCCTCCCATCAAACAAAAAGTCTAAAACAAATTTAGATAAGATAAGAACAGCTGAGATGTGAACTCTCCTTATAATATTAGGTAGAGCATAAAGTTCATTATTGTGAATTATCAACACCAAAAGTATAGGGATATGTATGAAGTAACATTATTATTAGAACAGCTAATGCTACAAGACAGGCAGGGTCAAGGAAAGTACCTTTTGTAAAAACAGTAATCAACATTAGATGCTACGAAAAGCATATATTATACATGTATATCAGCTGGCCCATCTACAGCTGTTTGATGTTTTGCATAATTTGCCTATTTCATGATTAACAACGTAACGATAATGTATCAATTACATTGTATTTAGCTATTTCTTGATATTAAAAAACACATCAGTGGTCCAGAAGATTATTGCAAAAAAAGCTCATCCTCCTTTTATTTTCCTCATTTGCTCCCGGAGTTATAGCTGACCAGGCAATGTTCCTAAGAAAATGATGAAGAGAAAATGAAAATCTACATCATGCTTCATGCACTCTCAGTTTGAGCCTTTTAGGTCCCCCCAGATCATTTCATTGGACTGTATTAAAGACTAATGATTTTGAAATTCCAGTTAATAATAACAAAAAAACATTAATAAGGCTAAAAGCTGAGGACCCACCATTGGAATTCGGGGGAATAATTACAAGGAGTTTTTTTAACTTTATAGCCATAAGCAGAAGCCTATAGAGGCAGAAAACTAACACACTGTGTTCCTTTGGATTCATAGAACTATGGCTTACATTACACCCTGACCTTGCACCCTAGCTGACATTAACACTGTGTACATATTTTGTCATTTGTGAGAACTAAAGGTATGGTGCCCAAAACCAGCTATCATTGTCTGCTTTAACTCAATCATACCAGAGAATATGGCAGAATGCATAGTCTACGGCAAAAGATATCAAATTACCAACTCTTGAACCTTAGGTACTAAAGTAAAGAACAACATTAAACAAAGTTTGCCGGAATATATAATACGGATGGACACAACTAGGGAATAAACTAAAAGGAGAGGGGCGGTAATTTTATTCTTTTATAACATCAATCATACCAAAGAACATGCCAAACTACCTTGTATTATTATTAGTTTCCTTCAATGTTGTGTACTTGTCAACTCCTAACCAAGGCAGCAAATGGTTGCAACTTTAAGGACCCCATAACAAACCCAAAAGTAGGTCCTCTATGATCAATACCTCAGCAAAACCTTAAATTATCTAGTTGAGAAATCTTTGATTGGTTGAACCACTTGTTTGTTCGTCGTCCTTGTAACCATAAGCTGCAACTGTCGTTTTTTCCCTCCTCCTATCTAACTCAAACCAAACCTCTTACTAGAGCTAACAACAGCAGTCTTTATTTTACTCCATTATAGCAAAATTGAGCATTTAATTATACAACAAATAAGTCTTATCCTATTAAGTAAAGTTGATTATACGGATCACATGATATTATTGAACTTAGTCAAAAGCTAAATTTTTATGAAGTTACAGCAAATATTGAAAACATCTGGTATAAAATTACTCATTCAGTTGTGGATAAAAAAAAAGATTGAATTGATTTGTTGACATATATTATCTGAAATACAATGACTGTGAATGACTAAAAAAGAATGGTTACGGGGAATTGTAAATGGGGAGGGTCACCACAGCAGCATTGTCAGAAGAAAAAAGAGTATTGGGGCGACAATTTGTGGAGTGTGAGAGGGTGGACCTTGTTCAATTACAGCCTAAGTTGGAAAAAATATGATATCTTGTTCAATTATAATCATACAGTTGAGGGAGTAAGGTCCACATGCTTGATCCCACTTCATTATTGTTCCCCTGTCCTACACGTCCTATTCGTTCCCGTAATGCCCAATTTTTTGCTTTTAATTTTCAAAACCTTGTGGGTTAGGCCCACTATTGCAACACTCATTATGTCCGTTGCCTATATAAAGCCCATAGCTTTTCGGCCCCAAAAATCTATTTATGATCGATTAAAACCGTATTAAAATAATCTAATTCATCTATAACTCCTTTAATAAAAAATATCTAACCTATTCATTAACCATATTTTATAAATGGATATCTAACCCATTCATTTAGAGTATATTATATTTTATATTTTAAACTAATATTTTTAATATAAAATGAGCATATGCAATTTTTTGACATTATAATTTTGTAAATTTTGTAGAAATTATAAAAAACTTCGTTTCTTACTCAAAAATAGTTTTTAAAAAATATTTTACATTAAGAAAAATTATAGTTGTCATCACAACTAATAAACTTTTTTGTTTTTGGTCGTCATATGGGCCTGACTAAAAGCCTCAAGGTCTAAGGGCCTGACTCAGAAACTATGATGGGCCACGTGTAAAAAAATAAGCCCATCTAAGACCCCCGAAAAAATTGAAATCGCTTCGCAAACTCGACAATCCCTAGAGAGAGAAATGCAGAAGAGGGAGCAGGGCAAGTCCGGTGGAGCCGCCGGAGGTGGGTCGGCGCCTCCGGCAAAGAGAGGGCGTCCATTTGGTAGCGGTAGCAACAGTGCCTCTGCCTCTGCCTCGGCCGCCGATTTGGCGGCTCCGTCAACCCTTCTTGGTCCTTCCCTTCACGTTCATAACTCCTTTGCCGGTGTGTTCATAGCTTCTTCTCTTCCTCTCTTTCTTGTGATTCTTAAAACCACTTATTGCCATTTTTGGGTCTCAAATTTTCTCTTTAGACTTTACATCTTGTTTTAATTAGGCAGAATTTACACACGCCCACACACAAACAAGCAAACACTGCACTATAAAACCGGTTTTGAATTTTAAGAAGCAATTAACTGTTAATTGCATGATGAAACAATTAATTTGAAGTTACGAGAGACTATTATTGATTGATTCATTATCATAGAACTAAGTGGCTATGTGGATGGTGTGCAATTCGGTATGTTATTTTTGCAGATCAAAATAATAAGAGAATTGTTTTGGCTCTTCAAAGTGGGCTTAAGAGTGAGCTGATATGGGCGTTGAACACTCTTACGCTACTCTCTTTTAAAGAAAAGGATGACATGCGCAAAGATGCAACTCCCCTTGCCAAAATCCCTGGTTTGCTCGATGCGCTCCTTCAAGTTGTATGTCCTACCAATTATTCAAATTAGGTTTAAACATGTTTTTGATCTTTGAAAATATCTTGGTTTTTAGTTCCCTATTAATTTTTTTTTCGTTTTTTAGTCCTTAATTTAATAAAGATGATGTGGTTTTAGTCCCTCGCCACGACTAAAAGCATTTGATTTTTGTAACTTTTAAGGGCTAAAAATAAATAAATTTTGAGGAATCGACACAAAAAAGTCATATTTTTGAGTACTAGAAATTTGTTTAAACACCGAAATTAGTAATTATAACCCTTTTGGTTACTCTATCATGTCATAATTTGAAACAGATAGATGACTGGCGTGACATAGCACTCCCAAAGGAATTTGTCAAGACGTCGAGGGTCAGGACATTAGGTGTAAATTCAGTTGTAACTGGATTTGGGAATGAGTATCAGGCACTGGGCTCAGCTGGTAGTCTCCACCGTTCTGGGTAAATTTGTTGTTGTCAAATTTCTCATTTGTTTGTTGAGTTTTCTATTTTTAGTTGTCAATAGTGTGCTATGGTGGTGTGGAGTGGCTGTGGGCTACTCCAAAGTTTGAATAGTGGTGCATTTTCAAATAGCAGCCGCAATTGTGGCCCTAGAGTGAAACTAATAAAAAATGAACATAATTTTTCCCTAAATAATTTTGGGGGGTTTTTTTAGGTGCAATGTTGATATTTCCCTTCCAATTTTCAGGATTAAAAAGATCCATAATTTAATGTGGGATCCCACACTTCTATCTACTGAGCAACACCCACAGTACAACTAGTAATATCGCTTTGTTTTTTCCTTGACTTTTATTGTTATTTAATTGTATGTTTTGCAGCTTTTGCTTAAGACTAATGACTTTTTATTGTTAATGATGAATGTGTCATGCATTTTGATTTCTTTGTTTTAAGATTTATATGTATATAGTCTAAATTATTTAATCTGTTTATAACAATTCTAAATAGCAGCTTCCTGCTAGAGTGATTTTGTAGTTGGCCGCTATGTGTGGATATTTAATTACATGTTTTCCTTTTGGGGACGGATGGGCTGGTAGAGAGAGAGAATCTCATCATAGGATGTTCTGCCTAATGCAGCCTAGGATCTGGCTCTGCTGGTATAGAATCAACACAGCAGAATGGCATGACAAAATCTCGTTTTTCTGAGTTATGGCATGATGAAGATAGTCTATTTAATTTAGATGACGAAGGGCGAGCAGAAAAACAGCAATGTGCTGTTGGTGCTTCAAATATCATCAGAAACTTCTCTTTCATGCCAGATAATGAAGTAATAATGGCCCAACATCGTCATTGTTTGGAAACAGCCTTCCAGTGCATAGAAGATCATCTTGTAGGTGAGAATACCCACATGTTATATACTATGATCTTTTTTGGTTTAAAATGTATTTTAGTCCGTACAGTTTCCACTTATTTGGGTTTTGGTTTTTATAATATATTTTACTTTTAGCTTTTCTTTCCTATATTTTTACTTATTTGGCTTTTGGCACATACCATTAATTATTAGTTATATTTTTCTGTTATGTGGTTTCTGATCCAGTTAGTTCTTATTCATCAAAAGTAAATGATCCTTATATTCCATGATTGATAGTTCCCTATATTTTGCTATTAAGATATTGTTCCTTGAGTCACCAACACCTTAATATATGAAATGAAACTATGGGGACTTATAGCAAAGAAAAAATGATGGGGACCAAAACCTATATGAGTGACAACCATAGGAACCAAATTTTATCTTAAAACTATTTTTTTTTTCCTGTTGATCTGCAATATTATTTAGTTATACCCTGATCTGGATTCGTTTGGGTGAATCTGGACGTAATTATGATACTGATGACAGAGTCAATAAATTTGTTGTTATTGTTTCATATTTGTCATGGTGTTTGCGTGGAATTTACATTATCATGGATGATGTAAATAGGATATTTTTTGATTGCTAAGCTTGTCTTTTTAGACAGCAAGTAGAGCTAGTATATGAGGATATTTTTGGGAGATAAGATGCTTCTCTTCTCTGCACTACTTACAGGCTAGTGGACCTATTTTGTATGAGAGTGCTGTTTTTTTCCTGTTTGGTTATTAAATGCTAGAAGTTCAAATTCTTGCAGATTAAAATGTGTATAGAATGAATAATCAGAGGTGGGTTACAGGGCTTGTATATGGTTTACTGGGTCTGTTTGAAACTGCTTATGAACAACTTATTGAGAACAACATATGATCCTCATAAGTTGTTTTCAATTTATTTTAATAAGCTTTGTGGTATAACTTATCAAAATAAGATGTTTACAACTTATTTCCATAAGTTTCATCATTAGCTCCTCATAAGTTGTTTTCAATTTATTTTAATAAGCTTTGTGGTATAACTTATCAAAATAAGATGTTTACAACTTATTTCCATAAGTTTCATCATTAGCTCCTCATAAGTTGTTTTCAATTTATTTTAATAAGCTTTGTGGTATAACTTATCAAAATAAGATGTTTACAACTTATTTCCATAAGTTTCATCATTAGCTTTCTAACTTAAGTCATCATGTAAAAAGAGCTTATTGAATAAGTGTTTAAATAAGCAGTTATCTAAATGCACCCATAGTCATATGTGATAAGTCCAGAGTGAGCATTCTTTTATGTTACATTTGGTTATGGTTTAAAATTGGGAAAATGTTTTTAATTTTCTTTTATACATTTATTGGTAAAAAAACATGTGGTAATTCATTTTGTTATAAAATGAGCAAAACTCATTGGTTGGTTTGGTATTAGGAGTTTAACAGGATGTTATCATTCCCTTCCTTGTAACAAAAACCAACCTTTGAATTAGACTTTTTCAAATCCAGTTTATGTCAAATTCTGTCTGGAGAAAAGCCACTCCTTTAAAATTTAAATGTTTACTGAACATCTTACATTTGATAAGATATGCCATTATCAAAATATCTAATTTTTGAGGGATTCTAGAAACTCCCAAATATGTGATTAAAGTCTTTTATTTTTTTAAACATTAGCATCCAATTTTGTGTTGCCCGATCATTAGAAGTGTTGTCCAATGTTATGTCTCTAAAATAGTTGTAATGTTGATAGAGGATGAAGAACTTGTCACAAATGCTCTAGAGACAATTGTTAACTTAGCTCCTCTGCTGGATCTGCGAATATTTAGCTCATCCAAGCCATCATTTATTAAAATAACGTAAGTGATTGATCGATCTTGAATGTTCATTTTGCATTCTTTTTTAATTCTGTTACTAATGGATAAATTGTTGTATTACTTGCAGAGAGAAACGTGCAGTTCAGGCTATCATGGGGATGTTGGAATCTACAGTCAAAGCCTGGCATTGTGCTGCTGCTGAATTACTTGGGCGTTTGATCATTAATCCTGACAATGAGCCTTTTTTGCTTCCATTTTTTCCACAGGTTAAACTTTATTTTATTGGTGTAACCTTACCTGTTAGTTATTAGTTGCATACTCAAAAATTATAATCATCAATGGTTGATTACTGCAGATACACAAGCGTTTAATTGATCTCATCAGCTTGCCAGCATTAGATGCACAGGCAGCTGCTATAGGTGCACTCTATAACCTTGCTGAAGTTAATATGGATTGCAGGTTGAAGATTGCTAGTGAGAGATGGTGAGCAGTGTATTCCTTGTATGAAATATAGTTTAGATATTTTTGGTTTTGTGAAATGATAAAATCATGACAGTATTTTCTTTAAACAACACTAACTGGCCAAAATTTCTGAATCACAGGGCTATAGATCGATTGCTTAAAGTGATAAAAACGCCGCATCCTGTTCCAGAAGTTTGCCGGAAAGCTGCCATGATATTGGAGAGTCTTGTTTCTGAGCCGCAAAACAGAACTTTGTTGCTAGCCTATGAGAATGCTTTTGCAGAGATACTTTTCACTGATGGCAGATATTCTGATACATTTGCAAGGATATTGTATGAACTAACATCTAGACCAAATAACAAAGTAGCATCGGCTCGTGGCATATGGGGTATGTGACTCCAGATCGCGTCAATTGTGGATCTGTGATATGGCTTCAATTAGTGATCAGTGATATACATGGATAGCTTTTGAATGAATGGTTTATTTTATGATTCGAAATGTACATGCCTTCTGTCTACGATTGTACAATACCTCGAGTGTACTAAAGTTGTCATGTACTCTAGTAGTTGTATGATTGGATGACAATTCTTTTTTGTTAACAATTTTTCTTCTTCAGTTCTTAGATGTATGGTTGGAAAGTGTTGTAACAAGTAGAAACTTGAGAAGGGGAATGCCCAATTCGTAGAATGAGGAATACTCCTCTCGGGATAATATCACCCCTCCCCAGCACTACATTCTCTTCTCTTTTCTCTCTCTATCTCCTAGTTGTCTCCGGTATCGTATTATTTTAAACATTCTTGTTTACTACTTTCCTAATAATAGTATCAGCCACCCCTCTACCAAAAACACACTCTTAATGCCATAGAGAGCCATTTGATGGCCATAAGAATTTGAAATAAGATACTTGGAGCCTGACATGTAAATTTTTTCCTTTAAAAATTATTTTGGTAACGAAAGAACGCATAATAGATATTTAACTCTTGAATCATGTAAACGCTTGAAATATCAAATTACAATTTTACATGTGTGCTCATATGTTATTTACAAAAGATTAATTTAAAACAGCATATAAAAATTTGTAATTTTAATTTTTTTAAACTTATTTCAAAATTCTTATTAATGTAACTCATCAAAAATAATTATTTCAAATTATCTTAATAAATTTTATGGTTAAAATTTAGGCATAATCAGAATTTAATTAAATTGTATATCCAACTACTGATGATTGAAAATTTGGAGGTGATTAAAGTATGACAAATACTATTACTGTGTCAGTAGAGATAACATTCAGTTGGATAGTCTTGAAAGGATTAATTTTTAAAAATGAATTGATTGGTCGCAGACTCGGAGCATGGCAAAAGCAAGGGACAGAACTGAGAATAGAAATTCCAAAATTGACGAGCTTTTAGATAGAAATTCCAATTAGGATTTGTATGTAAATGAACGGGATCAATATTATTCGAATTGGTATGAACTTTTCAGAAAATCTGAGTGTATTAATGATTCTTTTGGCAGGCTAAGTTGGCCTCAATTTTGGCATCTTTCATTATTCATAAACCTCCTCAAAGGTCACCATTTACTAAAGCTGCATTGAAGACGGTAACGTTCAACTTCGATATTCGCATGGTTTTCAGTAAGAAAAAGGAAGCAGTGCTGCTACTATGTAATGTATGTATCTTGGAAACTAATTCTCCTATTTTCTTTCCTAGTGTCACCTTATGTCTTTGTTTATAGCTCGAGAGCATTGGAGAACTGATTTTGAAAGCATTGTAGTTGTATCTTACTTGATAATTAAAATTCTTATCGGTATTGCACTGTCGCAATTTGTAATACACAGTTTATAAAAATAACCGTGAGGATTAAAAATAACAAGAGTTGTTAGAGACTAAGTGAGAATGGTAGTTAATTCTGTTACTTTCACTTGTATAACAGAAAAAGTAATAACATTTAGTCTCTTGAGATTGTTTTTCTTCGTTTAAGTTCCACGAGTGAGTTTCTTTTCATCTCAGTATTCTAAATTCTTTGTATGAGAGTCCTGTTTTATATTCTGAGAATCAGTGAGGAATTGTAGATTGATAATCTTCAAACTAACATCTAGTATCAATTTGATGTGCAACCATGGGAGACAATACAACCAATAAGGATTTGGAGCATCGAATCGAAGGTATAGAGAAGCTCTTGGAGAATTCACAACGAGAAAACCACAAGATTCATCAAGACACTCTTGGTGTATTCCATGATGGAGAAACTCTTAAAACAAGTTCAATTGTTGGGTGACAAAGCACATTCAGAAGACGACAAAAATGTGGTCACCGATGCACATTCAGGCAAGATTTTGGATAGCGCACTGATTCTGTTCCCTACTTTTGATGGCACGAATTATCGTGAATGGAGAGCCAAATTTGAACAGTTCTTTGAATTGAAGAATACGCCTCAAGATCAATGGGGAAAACTTTTGTTATTGTCAATGGAAGGAAAAACATTTGTGTGCCAAAGGCATTACACGACTCATAACAGCAATAAGGTGAAATCTTGGCAGCAGATTCTTCAGAATGTGGCTTCAAGATTTGACATGGGCAATTATGATGATCCCATATCAGAATTATCTAAACTACGTCAAGATGGTACCTTGCTTGATTATTTTGAAAAGTTTGATCAATTATTAGCTAGGGTAGATGTTACTGAAGAAATGACTCGGTTTTTTCTTGGGAGGATTACATGCTTCATTAGAAAGAGCTATTACAAGATGCTATGCGTTTAGCTAGATTGCAAGATGATATTTTACAAGAATTAGAAAGAAAATTGACAGGTACTAAGCAGAAACAATTTGATGATGCAAAGAGCTATTACAGAAGTTGGAATTCAACAACAGTAAACTCACGACCATCACCAATCACCAATACACAGAGTCCATTAGCTCAGTCTTCTACAAATCTAGCTCCAAAGGAATTCTCTACAGCAAAACCTTCTTCAACCAACAAAAGAGAAATGAGTGCCAGGAAAGCAAAAGGTCTCTGCAGGTTTTGTGGTGAGTCATGGGATAAGAATCATAGAGAAAAGTGTGCTGTTTGGGGGAAATTAAGTACCATATTTGCTGCTCAGGGTGAGGCATCAGAATAATCTAAAGACGAGGCAGATCAGGTGAACATTATAGCCTTAGGGAAGGAACTGTTAGCCACTGATGCAATTCAAATTTCACTAAATGCACCTAAAGGAATAGCAGGAGGCTAGACCTTGCAATTAAAAGGAATTATTAAAAATAAAGAGTTACCATTTTTAATGAACACTGGAAGCACTCATTTTTGTGAGTGATAGATGGGTGAAGACATTAGGATTAACAACTCAGTGCATCAAAGAATTTCCTGTGGTGGTATCAAGTGATAAACCAGTAATTATAAACAAGAAGTGTGAGCATTTGAGTTGGTAATTTCGTGATCATGAATTTGTGGGAGATTTTTTTGGTGTTACATGGATCTAACTTTGGGTCATCCTTGGGATGCATTGGCTGAAGACATTTGGAGAAATAAGGTGGACTGCAACTTTCTTACTATGGAATTTGAACATGTTGGAAAAACAGTAGAGCTAGTGGGATAACAATAATGTAGACAACACCAAGGAGCATTTATAACTATGAATTGCATTTTACCAGAAGCTATGATGTTATCTATTTCAATTATGGAGCCTCAACAAGAGAATTCCCATAAGCAAACAACTTTGACAGAAAAAGCAACAAGACTTAGCTGCTATATTATTGCAATTTGAAGATCTGTTTAAAATTCCTAATCAGTTACCTCCTCAAAGGAAATATGATCATCATATTCATTTGACAAACAATACTCCCTTATCTTCGAAACTGTATCAATATCCACGTCCAAAAGAATGTAATTGAAAAGATGGTGGCAGAGCTGCTACAAACAGGCTTTATCAGAGAGAGTGGTAATGCATTCACATCACCAATTGTTCTCATCAAGAAGAAGGATGTGGGGTGGAGACTTTGCATCAACTACAGGAAGTTAAATTCAGTCACAATTAAAAATAAATTTCCTATTCTATTGATTGAAGATTTGCTAGATGAGTTGGAAGGCACCACTTATTTTTCTAAATTGGATGAGGAGTGGTTATAACTAGATTCGTATGTGGGAGTTTGACATTCCTAAAACTGCCTTTAGGACTCATAGTGGACAAAGTGGTCTTTCCATTTGGATTAACCAATGCACTGGCTACCTTCCAGAATTTGATGAATGATGTTTTTCAGCCTCATTTAAGGAATTTTATCTTAGTATTCTTTGATGATATTTTGATTTATTCAAAAACATGGAGAGAACACATGGAGCATCTTTCCTTAGCCTTGTAACTCTTAAGAGCTTACACATTGGTTCTGAATAGAAAAAAAAATGTAGTTTTGCTAAACAGCAAGTTGAATACTTGGGCCCTGTAATTTCTAAATTAAGAGTAACTCCTAATGCACATAAGATAGAAGCAGTCTAGAACTGGCCAAGACCGAACACAATCAAACAGCTAAGAGGGTTTTTGGATTTATCGAGGTATTATAGGAGGTTTATCATGAATTATGGTAAGTTGGCACAACTTCTATCATCACTTCTTAGGAAGGAAGCAACATTTCAGTAGAATGAAGCAGCTGAGGAAGCATTTATTGCATTAAAGATGGCCTTAATAAGGGCAGCAGTGTTAGCTCTACCTAATTTTGCAAAACAGTTTGTAATTGAAACTTATGCTTCAAGTTCAGGTATAGGGGTAGTTTTGATACAAAGAGGTCATCCTATCACTTATATAAGCAAGGCAATGGGTATGACCCTGTTTGAAGCTTTATATGGTTACAACCCAATCAGCAACAATCCCTTAATGGTAGGTGACACAACAGTTGAAGCAGTAGACTTCACCATCAGGACTCGAGAGGAAATTGCAACAATTTTACAGAAGAATCTCAGGAAAACATAGGAGAGGATGTAGTTATATGCTAACAAGAATAGGACAGATAAGAAATTTGCAGTGGGTGATTGGGTATATTTAAAGTTACAGCCATTCAAACAACAATCAATACCTAATGCAGCGTTTCACAAATTAGCTGTATGATTTTATGGTCCTTACAGAGTTGCCGATAGGGTGGGGAAGAGGACATACAAGCTAGATTTACTAACTCAAGCTCGCATACATAATATATTTCACATTTCTTTGATAAAAAGACATCATGACGATAATCCAATTTCTACTTCACTGCCAAGTTTTGATAGCAATGATCAATTGAAACTGAAGCCAATTGACATCTTACTTAAAAGAATAAAGAAAAGAGACAACAAGCCAGTTATAGAAGTTTTGGTACATTGGCAACATACCACACCAGAAGAAGCTACATGGCATGAGGTGCACAAGCTGAAGCAACAATTTCCTCAAGTGGATTGAGAGTCTTTATTGGTGAGGCTTGTGGATGAAAGGGCCTTGGGGGCAAGGCCTGCAGATGGAGAGGAAATTGTAATACTGTACACGATTTATAAAAATAACCATGACGGTTAAAAATAACAAGGGTTGTTAGAGATTAAGTGGGAATGGTAGTTAATTATGTTACTTTCACTTGTATAAACAACAATATCTTATTGTAATCTCATTCATTCAGAAAAAGTAATAACATTTAGTCTCTTAAGATTGTTCTTTCTCATGTGAGTTCCATGAGTGAGTTTCCTTTCATCTCGGTATTCAAAGTTCTTTGTGTGAGGGTCTTGTTCTATATTCTGAGGGTTAGTGAAGAATCGTAGATTGATAATCTTCAATCTAACACAATCATTGT